CCTGTTCTAGAGAGGGTGGATTCCTTCCAGTTCTTCATCTCTGTCAATTTCTGTGTTCTATAAATGACTGACAATATATAAAACATTGTGTTTTACAGACATACTATTCAGGTCACTTGATAAAAGCTTTGAACTTCTTTTGAGGAAAAAAATCTGGTATCATACAATCAATTCGATCTTGCACAGATAAATGAACCTTGTACATTCTTCATTAGTAAAATCAAACTTATCTATTTATATGGTAAACCTATTTTTTAAAAAAACCTATTTAAGCTGTGTTTAAGAAGTTGAGAAAGGTCTAAACCAAAACCACAAGTGAAATGGAATCTTATGTTTTTAGAACACTCAGATTCAGAATGGCACATTGTTGTCTCTATTGAGAACTGAGAAGTATCCCTTTAGGCTTTGTTGAGAAATAAAGTTACTCTACATGGTAAAATCATTTGTTATTGTGAGTAATATTGTGGTATTTGTTATCAGAGCCTCAAATAACCAAGATCATTTTCTTCTGTTTTTGTATCAGGAGGATCAAATGAAAATGGAAGCATGCACCACAGCCCAGATTCTGATGGAACATTTATTTCTTACAGGTCAGTAAATTTTGGTACTTATTTATTTATTTATTTAACCAAAGTAATCAACATAATGTGTTTAAAGCAAGGGAGAAAGTCTACATTTTTAAGAGTATTGTACAATTTAAGTTGTAACAATCAGACAGAGGAAGTATTAAGGAACAATCTGAAAAACTTCCTTTTAGGATGTTGTTTTTATGAGAAAGCTTTTCAAAATGTTTAACTAATGAAAGCATTGAGGCATTATGTGTCAGTAAGTAAGTATTTCTTAGTTTATCTTGTTTTTTGTGTTTTTTTTTCCAAAAGCATGCAATGAAGTTGATAGCCCTCAGCTGTACACACAGTAATTAACTATTTACCAGGATCTTCTTCCTGATTTTCTCCAAAATAACTGGATCTATCCATCACATGAAACTCCAACAGCACTTACTAATTATTCCAATTAAAAAAAAAAAAGAGAGATTTGTTAAGTTTGACATTTCCTGACAGAAAGGTTTCACTTCTATTGGTAGTAAACACCAGTTAAAGAAACATGGTGCAGAACAACTATTTGCAGTACTGCTTGTGCTACAAAGACTTGGTTCTTGCTAGGGTAAACAGCTGAGGTTTTCCAGTTCTTAAAAGCACAACAAGCTAGTAAGTAGGAAAAAGCAACTGTTGCCTCTTGAGTTATTGGAAACTCGGACTACAGATAGAGTCATCAGAAGCATAGTTTCATCTTTCGGTCAATAAAATGACTGCTAAAAATGCTACATGTTTGTCCCAAAGACTAACCTCAGTTTTGTGCTAATTAGAATGACTACATCTGATTTTTGATGCTTGAGTATGGTTATAAAAAAAAGAAAAACAATCAAGCTTACCACCAGACCATTTTGAATTCCTGTAGCACACTAAGATGTATAGTTTCTATTTGTTTTTTTGTAGTCTCCTGGTGTGTGTGTGAGAGGTGAGAGCGGCTAGGCAGGGGCAAGGCTGGCCTGGTTGCAGCTGGGGACTGGGGAACTTCTCCCCTGTCCTGGCCTGTGGAGTTGTGCCGCGCGGCTGGGGGAGGCCTGGACGGGCGCAGCAAGCTGAGACCGGCCCCGGGCCCTTGCAGAGTGGAGACTGAGAGACTGCTGAGAAGAGCAGGGAGCAAAAAGCCAGGTCTTGAAGGAGGAGAGAAGAAAGACTTTTCATAGAGGGGACAGCAGAGAGGTTATGACAGAGGTTGGACCTGCATGTACCCTGTGAGCCAAGGGAGCTTTTATTTGCAAACCCTTTCAATTTTCTGTATCCTATAAAGTTGCTTCATCTAATTCATGTTCTGATGAAACCCAGATTGTGCTGATACCCTTTGAGTGTAGTTAGGGTACTTGCTTTGAGACATATATGCTGGCAGAGCTCTTTCAGGGTCTGCCTGACTCAGTTTCTTGTTACACTTGTGTTCTCTAATGCATAAAGAAAATATAAGTAGCCCAATACACTTGTAACAAGGAAAGCTGGAAGGAGAAACCAGCTGCAGTTAGACTATGGTTTCCTGAGGGTGTTTCCTGTGGTAGTGAGCTGTGCCCTGTCTCCCCACCTTCCTTTTCACACCTGCACCGGGACTCATCTCTTAGCAAACCAGTCCAAGGGGGCTGAACTAGCCTAATCTGCCTATTGGTAGGATGTGTTTTCTGATGACTTCGTTCATTGTATCAGTCTTCCCAAGACTGATACTAAGATGAGGTTCAGATGAGTATTGGTGCTAGTGTAAGGAAAGGGACTAGAACATGAGGCTGGGAGTAAATGGGAGGATGAATCGTGGTTATCAGCCTAAGCTGTAGTGGATTCACATCCGTCACTCTCAGGACTATCAACCACAGGAGTCAGAGGACGTATACTAGGTGTTATGAATGGTTTTTGTCAATATTTTTGGAATATTGCAGCTTGTTGCTAAAAACTTGCATAGTTAAAAAAGTTCTTGTGATGCCCTAAGCCTATTCCCATAGGCCAAGCCATCTTTAATGTTCTGCAGTCAACTAAGAGACAAAGTTGACCTTTGTGTCTCTATATTCCTTAGTCCAAAGCACATATAATAAAAAGGATCTTAGCTACCATTTTAACAGAATAATAATCATATTCTGTCAGAGGGGATTACAGCACAATTTGCAAAACTGAAGTTAAGTTATATATTAAAATCAGTCCCAAGTCTTCATTGCTTTGCCAGTGTATTAAATTATTGGTATAATTAGAGGCAAGATGATAAAGCAAGCGAGTACAGTATATATATATATAAAAAAAACTCTGGCTTTTAATAGCTGGCAAGCTAACACTGTTATTAAGTAGTATTACAGTATTTAAGGTGTGAAATGAATATTTTCTGCTCAGTGGCAAGTAACTCCTATCATATAATGAGATTGGCTGTAAATTTGCTGGTTGCGTTGAATATTGTGTTGATAGTTACAGTTCTGTGTTGCGTGTTATATAAAAATGAACAGCTAATATCTTATAAAAGACTTAAACTGCCTTGAAAGATAACAATGGTAAATTTGTGTTGTTTATTTAAGGACTCATTGGACATTTTGACTTATTTTAGGATACTTCCAGTTAATATTATTTCAGTAAATTAGCAATTTGATAAAAGTATTGATAGTCTGGTTTATCCAATGTGTTTCAGTTTATTGTACTTTTAAAAAGCCTTAGTGTTAGATTCTTGCCCTAAAGAGGCTGTGCCATCTTTGGATCACAGTAGGTATTATGCTTGCATAAGACTAATATATGCAAAATCATACTGAAAATTTTTACTGAAAGAAGTGCTTTTATCAGTCTCTTTGTAATTCATTTAGGAGAAGTGGCAACTCCACATGCTTAAAAACACTTAATTGTGAATGCTTTTGCTATTAAAGTGCTCCTTGCTATAATAAAAAACATGGCAGCATGGCAGTAGGGTGAATTTACTTGATTCCTCCTTTTATTAAATTATGTTATTTGTTATTAACACACTTCATGTGTTAGTGTATTTGTTTTTCTTTTTAATATGGAGTTTGTGGATTTTGCTTGTGTTCATCATGGCACAGATTTAGTGCTTATGTTCAAATAGTGAGCGTTTCCCTTTAGATCCTAAAGTTTGTGAGTAATGTAAATGATAAGCTCATGCGACTGGCACGTTTCTCAATATTCTGTAAGTTTGTGAATGCATCCTCTCAGGTCACAGAGAATTTTCTTGTTGATCTTCAGGCTCTGACGAGAGCATTTTAGTGTACTTGAGAAAAGCTTTATGCATATGACATTAAAAAAATTCTTTCCTAGTACCATGTCATCCAAGTTTGAAGTTCACTCTTAGAAAAATTTGAACAAGGTGTTAGACATATAGTTTCATCTTTAAAACAAAAGAAACCTGGGAAAGATGTTTGAGCTGCACTGTACCGTGGTGTTTTACAGCCATGGTTGAAGCCTTTTCAGGATGTGCAAATTGGTCAGACATGGCCAAAATGAAAAGGAAAAAAAAAAAAAAAGCCCAAGCTTCCAGTATCTGCAATGCAGTGCCACTGGAAAGTCGAAATACTGTCTTTCTCTTGCCTTCCCAAGGGCAGCTGACCTTCTCCTCGCCAAAGAGGTGAACCCCTTGCCAGCACATATGACTACAGACTATTACATTAATCTGTTTAGCCTCAGTACCAGCTGCTTGCATGTTTTTAATTATCTTATTAGATAGTATAACAGTGACCTATGAAATAAAATGAAGGTGAGTATTTTTTAACTTTATTTTACAGGCTATTTTTCTAAATATATTTTAATGACCTAATTATGACTTTTAGGGAGAGCCATTGATGCAGACATTCAATTTGGCTGATAGAATCTAACATCTCAAGGGCACTTATTTTCCTCGAAGGGGGATTCATGCATTAATATTGCTTGTAATAAATATATAGCCTTAAAAAAGCTCCCTTTTCATACTTGTGTTGTTAACTGACTTTATGGTTTAGACACCCATGACCACTGTGCTGTGATGTATTATTTGTTAATACATCCCTGCATTTGTACCTGAGTTTAATTTTTGACCCGCGTACCATGATGGATGAAGCTCTTTCCAGCATGACTTACACTCCATGCTAATTCTGTTTGCTCCGAGTTCTAGCACAGGCAGACGCTGTGTATTCCTCCTTTGGCTGTTATTTCAAATAGACAGCAGTTCTGGTATATGAAAGACTTTTGTAGTCTGTTTTCTTTCCTTGACTTCTTGCACATTCTGGTTACCAGATGTTTTCTTTCTCATTGCAAAAAGGCAGTTAGTCCTGCTGGCTGAGGCACGTTTCTTGTGTGCTCGCCAACAACTGCAGGGCTGGTACTGAGCGTGCAGAAGACAGACAGCAAGGGGTGCAAGCTGTTCCTGCCTCTTCCTACCCCTTTCCAAAGGTGGATTGTGAAACCGGTTTGATTCCCGTGTTGACCTATGGTTTTTCTAGGCTGCTGTGCCAGAAATGGGTACATACCCTCTATCCATATCTTCTAGACATAGGGTGGTTTCATAAGATACAAGGTATTTAAATACTTATATCTTGTGGAAATCACATGTCTTAATCTGATGGGAACCAACCCTTTCCCCACTACACAAGCATATTTAGTCTTCTGCAGCATAGGCAGGTGGTGTCTTTTTACTGTGTTTTACTTTTTAAGTCACCTCTGCACAAGGATAACTTCTTGTTTTTTTTCCTTAATTTTTTCACACTAGGTGTGAAACCTAACGAGCAGCCGTAAAGAGGAAGTGTTTCTATTGGGTTTTTCACATATTTTGAGTTACAATAATGTTAGGAGGCCTAGCAGTGAAGTAGCTCTGCACACCCTTGTGCAGGGAGGTTCCTCAAGAGCTTCTTGTGTGCAGAGGCAGGAAAATTTGTGCTTCTTTTGCCCTCCCTACAACCATTTGTTAGAGGCCTTCCTGGATTTCGTTGCAAAGAGGCCTTTCCATACATGTTCATTTTGTCTGTAGAACCTTAAACTCTATCCTTGAAGTTTGTGATCCTTCTGCACTTCTGAACTTACTTGCTTATAAACCT